TTAAAAGTGTAGAGCTGGTGGAAGGCGGGAACAGATATGCTGAGGATCTTGGCAAAAGAGGGACTGAAGTTCAAGTCCTGCTTGGGAAAAGAAATGAATGACACCATAGATAGGGCTGGGGAGTGAGATTAAAGGGAAAGAATGACAAACGAAAATTCTGGGAAGCCAGGTGTACTAAAGTAGGAAGAGAGGGTAAATTAGAATAACAGGAAGTTTTGTTCAGAAAGGCAGTGGACAGGGCTAACCACAGATCTGACACGTGAGTGTGGGAAAAGGAAAATAGAAAGGCTTTGAAAAACAGAGAACTACATAAAGCATAGAAGAGGACTTGGCAAGGAGCTCACTTTTAAGTGGTTAAGGCTGAAAAAAAAGAAGAAATAAGGAAATAGTCTAAGAATTGGTAAGGGCTGTACCTTGTGTCTCTGGCTTCCTGAGTCCAAGGCCCAGGCCTAATCCAAGTGATACAATCACCAACAAAGCCAGAAGAACCTGTTACAAAACAAGGAAAGGTGTCCTTCTCAACCTTTAAAAAATAATATGTACAGAAATGCAAATGATCACCTGCCATTCATGATCCGAAACATACTACTTATTCAGGATCCAACAACAATAGTCATATATTATTTTATTTAATTCCTGAAAATAAGAAAGGATGTTAAAACATATTTCAGATAACACTCATTATGGATTTTCAAATTAAAATGCTTTAGTCCCAGTGGGCTTAACTCCAAATTGAGGTAGAGTAAGAATTAAATCCCTGGGACCATTCACTTTTGCCGAGTCTTCTTGCTTAACTAGGCACGTGTTTGCAGATCATTTATCAGAGAGCATGCTGAAAGTGTGACATCATTAACTGCATCATTCTTGGGAGTCGTTTGCTCTCATTTTGTCAGAGGATAATCAGAATAATATATGTGAGAATATAGTATACTAATAAGTAACTGACAAATAATCGGCATTGATCTATATTACAAATAAATAATTCAGACTAATTAGGGAACTAATTGGCCAAAGATTGCTTGTTTCATTTATTATCACCACTGCTGACAAAGCTGATAGCTATAATGGACTTTATGCTATGACTAGAATTCAACTATGATATAATTAAAGAGAATTCTTCTAATTGCCCTCTCTCCCCACCCTTTAAGTCCAATAGTAAGCATGTTGGATGATAGGGTTGGAGCAATATATATCACCATTAGGAATACAAATGGAACACATATGCAATCAGATTACATAGGGAAATCTTTTACAATGACATTTCTTAA